TAAATCTGAGGACTTTCCAGTATTGAAAGTGCTCCGTTAGACTTAAATGGTAAAGTTGGTCATATGCTGTTTTTCTGACATTGATGTCACCATTTAGAAGTGATGGGGATTTTTTTTTTTTTTTTTTTAATTGTCCTGATGCTGTGTAGTCTTTGGAGCAGCCACAGAAAAAGACCATCATTAATCCTACACTGACTGGCCAGCTTTTCTAGTACATTGAATGCAGCTTAATGTCCCCATTGTGCACATCCTTTAACCTTGGGATTTGATATTTCCTTGATTGTGTCCTGCTGATCTTGCGTCAGTGTTGTCAAATGTTCATCTTGTTCTCCTGTTAATTGTGGGAATCTCTGCAAAAAGGATGTTATCCTTGAATTACTTTTTTTTTAAAGAAAAAAAATGTCTTGACCCGGAAGTACTTGCATCTCTAACTGAATTCTCTATCTGCATCCTTTCCGGTGTTGAGGAACTGTACCAATCTATTTTTGGTTTGAATAGCTCTAGACAGGCCACAGGTCAAAGTTTCTAAAACAATCCATCACACCACAGGAGCATTTTGAAGATCTCATGGTTGTATCCACTAAGTTTTGTGATCCTATGATACCGGTAGGAGTGTTTTGCCTGCAAATTATGCATTGCTGTTGTGTTTTTATATTGACGTTTTGAAAGAAAAGGAAACCTCTTAAGGTAATAACTTACTACATTTCTTATTTTTTTTGACGTGTCATTTTTTTTTTTTAAATGTGCGGTTTTCATTGCTTAGAGTAGACCTTGCATTAAAATACAAGGTCTGCTTAGTTGACAGTCACCATCTTCTGATTACAAAACGCTAGGTCAAAACGGGGTCCAGCAGCTTTTTGTAATTAGGGGTAGGGGGGCTACTACAAAAAGAACCTTGTTTTTTAGGGTAAGGTTCACTTTAAATATGCCAAAATGTTGTAGTGGCTTACGATTGGTCAGGACAGTGTGTCTCTCTGCTGTGCGACTCTGAGGCAGTGGGTGTGTGCAATAGCCAGTCTGCTATTGGTTATTGCAATAGACACTAGCCGGCTGGCTTTTGCACCTTCCCACTGCTGGCTGCCTGCTGTCGATCACCAGAGGAGGACCTGTAGAAGAACTTTTATCGTTATTTCCCTCCTCTGTTGATTGACAGCAGGCAGTGGGAGGGGAGGGTGCAATAGCCAGCCCGCTATTGGCTATTTCAAATTGCAATAGTAGGCTGGCTGTTGCACACACACCCACTGCCTGCTGTGTTTACATTCCCTGGGTGAAGCTATTCAAGCCATGTGTGCTTGAATAGCTCCTTTTTAAAGTGAAACGGTGACCATTAATGTTGCCTTAAGAGACCCTGTCATCTCCAATGTGCTATCACACGGGGGCTTATGAGCTAGCTAGAAGGTTGCCTTCATATTTCTGTATGCACAGGCTTTCGTTAATCATTTTGTTGAATTTTATACTTCTGGTATGGACTTGATTCAGATTGGCTGACTTGCCCCTTAGCACCTCTTGGCACGCTTGTCAACCCCACCTTTTATATGGCCTTTTAAAGGGGATTTCACTCTCCTCGTTGAATATGCAGATTTAGATGAATATAGACAAAGTAATACAGCACGAGGGGAGAGGCTCCAAACCCAGCAAGGAGTATGGATTTTTTTTTCTTGCTGTTGGAGCCATATATTGAGCTAGGAACCTTACCCAGAAATGGAATAGAATTCTGGATTGAATGATATTTTAATTAGGTCAGTTGTTGGCATTGGCTGGATAAGATATTCACAGTCGCATAAATTGGCTTGAAAAAAAAAAAGTCTTGGCCACAAACGGTTGACAGCCTGGTTCAGGCTCGGAATTAAAGCAGAAGATGGAGGTTGGGCAACAGAAATTGTTGGTTTGCATGCACTCTAGATACTGTATTTGTTCCGATATGTAACTAAAAAGAAATCCTCTTTTAAAACTTGCCCGTGCTGATGGCATATGTTGTGATTTTTGGATTTACGTAAATCTGTTGGTTTCCGATAAGGAAGTCAAATTAAAGCTGGCCCATCACCTGTAAAATTAGGACAAAGCCGACTTCCTGTTGTAAAGGAAGTCTACATTTACTCTTCCTTTATAAATGGCAGAACTGACGGACTTAACACATAGTGACCCCTTGATTCATAAACACTGTTCCTCTAAAAATAATGTTCTGCCTGGCTGCGTGTCATGTGCAGATTATTTTCAAGTTAGGTCCTCTGTTAGATAAAAAAAACATTTCTCCTTGGTATAGGTAAGACCTATTGTGACAGAATTCACTGGCAGGTAATCGCCAGGCCAAGCTCTTAAAAACTCAGAATTCTAGGGAAACTGCAGGGATTCCTTGATCAATGCTTTTAAACGTTGATGGAAGAATCTTTTCTGTCTTTTTTTTCGTTCAGCCAGCGGGTTGACCAAAAAAATAGAATAGTGTATGGCCAGCAGAATGAGGTTGATGTCAGTTAACCCTTAGCACACACAAACAGTAGCTGCCACCATGTGTTTAACGTAATGCACCATTACTGCTGTAGCAGTTATGAACTTTCAGGCTAGGTTCACACCTGCACTACACCTCACGACACCCGAGATGCGCGTCCCGGGTGTCGTGCATTCCTGCACAATACAGGCAGCGATTGCCGCGCTGCCCCATTGATTTCAATGGGGTGACATCCGCGCGAAAATCGCAGAAAAAAAGTTTTTTTGCGATACACGAAGCTCGGCTGTTTTGTGTTCAGAAGCACAGGTGGGAAATAGCGCAATCCGCCTGGCGCGACTGGGGTGGACTCCCAGAGAAATGGATGTCGTGTTCTGTATGAATCCATATTCTGCCCTCTGTTTGGGGTTCATTCATAGACTTGAATAGTCATGCAAAGCTTGTTGACACCTTCCCTTAATCAGCTTTTGCATGTTATAGCTCATGAAGTTGGTATAATCTCCATATTCATTTTATTCATATTTTTTTTAATACAGATACCTGCTTTTTTTATGCCATTTTGCATCAAAGTGCTTTAGAATTACAAGCAGTAGGCCAGTTCATTCATTGGAGGTGTTTGGTTTTTTTTTTGTTTTTATTTTGCTCCAAGTATTTAGTTGTAAGGACGAGCTGGCTTTTGTTGTAGTTTTTTTGTTTTTTCCTTTTTTTAATTTAACATTTTCTGTGTAGCTATATCTGTAAAAAGTGCCTGAGAAGAAAATCTACATGATAAAAGTGCAGCACGAATGCATAACATTCATTGTATGGAAAAGGTTCCTAAAATAACTCCTGTGAAAATTGACAAGACAGCTGTGTCTTCACCCACCCCCAGGCCTTGAAATAACACTTCCACTCTGTGGATCAACAGACTGACCAGCCTCTCGCCAATCCTGGACCAATGTCTGCTGTGTTTAAGCATTTGTTTTATATGTACTTCATTGATGACGCATGTTAAATTAGGAAAAATTGCTTCTATTTAAAAGGCAAATCACATTAAAAAAATAAGTATTTTAAATACTTGAAGTGTTTTTTTTTCCTTCATCATTTTTTTTTCTTTTGTATTTGCTTACAATTTACTGTACTTTGTCAAGCTTGCTAAGGAATGTGACTTCTCCTGAAAAAGTAAATTCCCTAGCACAGCCCCTCTCTCCTTGCATGTCATAGCCCTCTCCTGTTCTTGGAGTGGCTAATTACTGTCTTTGCTGACCCAGCTCCTCCAAGCATTCCCCTCCCTACATAACCTCGGAACAACATGAGGAAATACTCTTGGGAAGATTTTTGTTGAAATGAATGTTCTGGTGACAGTGTCTCTTTAATTTATGCTTCCTAAACATGTGAAAGATCATATAGTGTATGTATGTGTGTGTGTGTGTGTGTGTGTATATGTATATGTATGTATATATATATATACACATACGATTATATATATATATAATTTCATCTGTATGTGTATATATATGTGTGTGTGTGTGTGTGTGTGTGGGTGTGTGGGGGTGTGTGTGTGTATATATATATACACATACGATTATATATATATATAATTTCATCTGTATGTGTATATATATATACACATACGATTATATATATATATAATTTCATCTGTATGTGTATATATATATACACATACGATTATATATATATATAATTTCATCTGTATGTGTATATATATATACACATACGATTATATATATATATAATTTCATCTGTATGTGTATATATATATACACATACGATTATATATATATATAATTTCATCTGTATGTGTATATATATATACACATACGATTATATATATATATAATTTGTCATTTTTAAATGGGGTATATTTACACATTACTTATGCGGGTTCTGCTTTCGAGATGGTAGTGCAGTACAATGTTCTTCTTTTATTTTTTATTACTGTAAGCGTGCCATTCAGGGTCTATCTCATTGAGAACAATAGGCCATCTGTATTTTTAGATGTGACCAACCAGTTCAAGGGAATTGCTTTAAAGGGACATGTTAATCGGCACGTTTCCCTGGGCATAGTGTGTGTTGGGCTGACCTGATGGTTAAAAGCCAGGTGTGGTGCCATCCTCTGCACCCAGCCCTCCAGTGTGAACTTGGCCAGAGACCAATGTGACACCAAAATGAGCTTGGTCGTTTTACCTTTTGTGTTTACTAGACAGGAAGTCACCTGTCAAATTGTTCCTGTTAATTATATCAACATATTAAATAGGTCCTGATATTTTCCTGAAATATAGGTTAACCAGTTAATGAAAATTTGGAAACCAAGTTTCTTTTCAACCCTTTTTATATGCTTTGTTGGGCTGCCTATATATGAATGTGTATGTCAATAGCAGTTAAAAAGAAAAGTAACACTTTCTTCATTGGTCAAGAGGAAATGTTTAGATACATTTCTCCCTTACCAGACACATTTTTGCAACTTTTTTGTGTGTTTTAATAAAAACATCAGTGATGGCCTCAAAGAAATGGCAGAAAATTTTAAATGTTCTCCTGTTCTTCATTGTTCCTCTAGGTGCCATTATGGATGGCAAGGTGACTACTGTAGCAAGTGCGTTCCATACCCCGGCTGTGTACATGGGAGTTGCCGATTGCCATGGGAGTGTAACTGCGAGACAAACTGGGGCGGCCTCCTCTGCGATAAAGGTATAATGTGATTTATTTGTATTTATTTATGATTCCTGTATGATTCGTTTATTGCATAAACCTTTAACTGGCAGTCAGACGTTTTCTCATTGCCCTGGGAAGCGACATAAAGGTGCTGTCAGGGAATGGATAGAATTCCGAGCATTGCTTTGGATTGCGAGTATCACTTATGGCACTAGTGGCTTTTCCTCAGCAGCTGTTATTCAGGCATTTTCAGTACCAAAGTTCTGGTAGAGGTGAACAACCCTTTCAAGCAACTGATGTCAAGACATGGCATCTCTGGTGGACTGCTGTTTGCATTTTAATGAAATAATGGAACCATTAATCTTGCATAATTCTGATATTTTAGCTTGCATAAAGAGAATTCGGTTTAGCTTGGAGCCACATGAACCTATGGTCACGTTACAGGCAATAAAGTATTTAAAATTGTGTAAGAAGCTGTAATTTTGGTTTTAAGACCAATCCCCACTGACCTCCTGTAGCTGTACGCACTGTGTAGCAATTCATCTTTAAAAGCGTTATAGCAGAAACACTGGAGTCATTCAGGTCCTTATAGTAGCAACTCGGCTAACCTTGCTCCCCCTTCTCGGAGCTTCTGCTCTGTGTTTACAAGCCTGTACTGGAAGGCTGCTCTGTCACTGCTGGGAAGGGAAGCAGAATGAGCTGAGCTGCCAAGTCACTGTTCAAAGAGGGAAGCTGAGCGGCTGGCAAAATCAATTGCAGAGGTCAGTGAGGGCTTTTGAAGCTCATTCATTGATTCTTCGTTTCCATAGCTTGGCCATAAGTTCATCGTAACTAAATTCTCCAGAAGTTTCATAACCTTCATCTCTTAGGTAATGGTTGCCAAGATTTTCTAAGGACCACCTAAGGAAGTCCCTTTCCAGTTCATGGATGTAATGTTTTTCTGTGGAGCAGGATTTACTACGAGAGCCTCCAGGCTATTTTAGGAAATGGCACACGCATATTTATATATTTACATAAACCTCTTTGTGGACAAGCGGTTTGCAGCATATTGCTGTCTCTTAACCCCCCCCCATCAACCTTTTGCACATTGTAATGTGAAGCACTTGTCAACCTTTCCTCACCCGCCTATTATCATTCGATGTTGCTTTTTGTGAACGCATGAAAAAGCGTAAGGTGTCGGGCCAACAAGTGATGATACCTTTTAGGACAGTCTGCTGTAACTGGAGCATCTCTGAAAGCTGGGGACGTTGTCAGCGGCATGACATACTAAATAAATGATTTGCTAATTCTTGCAGATCTGTTCATATTTAGGCTTGTTTTACAGTATGAAGAGTACAAAATTGTTCTATTTTGGTTTGTATGGGTCTTTTGATTGTGTTTTGCCCTCATTATCAGCTGTATTAAATCTCTTGAACAACATCCAGGCTGGAGTAAAGTACGTTTTTATATTTAATCCTTTAACCTGCTGTGGTACAATAAAACGGAATCTGTTGCTATGGGCAACACCACCCACTCCCCCTAAGACCCCCAAAATGATCCAATTGTATAAAAACCTAAAGTTTTTTTGTATTTTTTTTTTTTTACATTTTGGCTTTAAGATCTCAACTACTGTGGAACTCATCATCCTTGTTTAAATGGTGGAACATGCATGAATACAGAGCCTGACAAATATCATTGTGCTTGTGCTGATGGATATTCCGGGAAGAACTGTGAAATAGGTAAGATATTAGAATAAGCTGCTTGCTTTTCTAGGTAGATTTGTGAATTTTAAGTGGTGTCAGAAGAATGAAGTACAACTCTTAAGTTTGTATTTATACAGATAAGCAAACTTGGAGCGGTGGCTACTTTACTACACATACAGCGACCATGGGGAACAAAAGTAGCCACCCTCCAGAAGGGTGACCTTCTCAATTTCTTGACCTTTTGGCTATTTTACTTGTGTTTTAGGCCTTGATCTCATCCACCTGTTGTGACAGCCAAATATTTGAACTTTGCTGCACGGGCATCTTTGTCACATACCTTTCATAGTTGTGGGTTTTTTTTTTATAAAATTGAACAAGCATTTTTTGTTTTGTTTGTTTTCTAGCTGAACATGCCTGTGCCTCCAACCCCTGTGCTAATGATGGCGTCTGTCATGAAGTCTCCACTGGATTTGAGTGCCATTGTCCTCCTGGTTGGACTGGACCCACCTGTGCAATTGGTATGTTTTTGGTTGTCTTAAATTTTTTTTTTTTACATTCTTTTTTTTTGGCACCATATGAGCTTAGTTGTGGAAATTCAAACTTTCGTAGCACCTCCCTTTTTAAATCGGTGGCCTATTTTGGGCATTGAAGGGAAGCTTCCTTTTGTAGCTTTCTCACTTTAAGCTGATGGAGGTCAAGCACAAGTAGATTAGTCTCGTGGCTTGACTTGACTTTTGGGTACCCTTTTTTGTGTTTTTGTTAAAATAGTGGTGTAGTGAAGTTGCTGATTTGAAGTAGTTGTGTAAAGTCGGCAAATACACAGGTGTCAACAATTTCCAATGACCATGGTCAACTTGGATATATACCTAGAACACAAGTAATTCACCGCATTTATGGGTAGTTTAAAGGACCTCACTTTCTATGAGGTTTTCCCCAGGCACTGTGTTCTGTATGCATTTTTACCACTGAAAATCACTTTCACTTGCAGTGCATATGTACTGTTTATTGCTTGCTGGACAGCTTGCTGTAGTTGGTAAATAAAGCATTGACTTCTCAGTTTTAAATAATTGCACTATTGATATTGCATATTGTAGGAGTCTGGGCCACCCAACTGGCATTTTTAGAGGCAAGGGCAGTTTACATTTACCATAGTGGGTTTCTTTCAAGATGCCTGCCCACCAACCAACAAAAAATGGAAATTCATATGTGGAGATAGTATTTACAATGACGCCATGAGAAAGGCATGGGTCCACCATTTTACTTATCTAGAGGTTTACGGAGCTGATTGGTTGCATCTACAGGGAAAATATATCTGCTTAAGTTATTATATTCGATCAGTAAAGCTTTTTCTAATCGCAGAACTTCACAATTATTGCGAGATACTAACACCTTAAAGAATAAGTTCCCCTTTTGCAAAAATTAAGGAAATGCATAATTAAAATTATATTTAAAAAATTGCATTTCTTTAATATTTGCATTCAAGCCTGGAAAGCATTGCAATTGTGATCACTCGAACACAGCCACAAAGCTCAGGCTTCTGCACATTCTCTCCCAGGCAGAGCTCGTACTGAGGTACGGAGTTTCAATTAGGAGAGATGGGAGAAAGGACGGCTGAACTTCAAACTGCATTAAATCACCTCATACAGCGTCCAGCTGTCCTCGCTCTAGGTAGAGCTGCCTACATCCCTGCATCTACCTAGAGCGAGGACGGCTGGAAGCTGTATGAGGTGATTTAATGCAGTTTGAAGTCCAGTCGTCCTTCCCCATCTCTCCTAACTTAAACTGCATCGAGCTCTGACTGGGAGAGAATGTGCAGAAGCCTGAGGTTTGTGGCTGTGATTGAGTGATCACAATTGCAATGCTTTCCAGACTTGAATGCAAATATTACAGAGATGCATAATTGATAATAGAAAAAAATGAATTTCTTTATTATTCATTATGCATTTCTTTAATTTTTGCAAAAGATGAACTTAACCTTTAAAAAAAAATGTCCTTGCTTATTTTGGGTGTCATTTTTCCACCTTTTTTTCCCCCCCCCCAGACATTGATGAATGTGAATCCAACCCTTGTGCGAGTGGAGGAATCTGTAAAAACCTAATTAATGGCTTTGAGTGCCTTTGTCCTCCACAGTGGGCTGGAACCACCTGTCAGCTGGGTAAGTCATTCCTGGAAGCCTCCCCACAAATGTTTCTGTGACATTCTACAGGGACTCCAAATGTTGTATAATAATTTTGATGATGACAGCACACATGACCACTGCTAAAATGTTTCTTGTGAGATTTGTCTAGCGGCTAAGACTGGAGGAAAAAAAGTTTAGGCATTCATTTGACGGGGACAGTTCTGAGTGCAGTTATCTTTAGCAACCAATCAGGAAAACCATTGGTTTAATTCCTTCTCGAGAGTTCCTTCTACTTAACTTCAGACTCCTAGAAACAGTCTTTTGGGATTCTTTTTACCAAACTCAGACCAATACAGACCTGATTGCTTGCTCTAGGTAACGACATACTGCAGCTTAAATTTTTCGTTTAGCCTTCACATTCCAGAGTCCAATCCTAGATGCAGTTTTCGGGTTCTTAATTCATTAATACTTCTGTATTGTATTAACTTGCATTTCTTTAACAATGGTGATGGTTTAAGTTCAATTGAACTTTAACATGACTGGTGGCGGGCGTTTTCATGTTATGTTTGACTTTTTTGTGTAGCTAATTGTGTGGGTTTTTTTGTGGTTAAGCCCACTCAGCTTTGTAGTTCCATGTTGGCAATGGTGGGTTAAATAGCCCATCTTACTAAAATTATTTGAGGCGTGGCCATATGTACACCCCTTCATAGGGAATCCTAGTTGTCATAAGAACAGGAAATAAATCTAGTAGAGAAACCTCTCCTGGTGACAGCTGTCTAAAAGGGTACGTCTTCTTGTTATGAAGACATTTTCTCACTTCTGGCTGTGCCTGTGGGACAAGAATTGCAGCTATATCTCTTTGATGACACATAAAAAACCAATGAGGGGCGTTAACCATTCCAATGAGGGGCCGTAACCATTCCTAAATCAATCCCAAAATAAAAAACCGTGTTGGATATATCACTTTTTTTTTATGTTGTACTTTACTTTTAACTAACCCCGCATGAACTTGCCAAATCTTGTATACTGCTAATACAGTTGGGTAGCATGAACATGTATATACATTGCCTGCATGTATAGTAGTTATCTGTAACTAGCATTTAATCTGTGGGTGAATTCTGCTTGGTGTTTGGGATGCTGTGTTTATTTATTTCTTTTTCTTGTCTTGTTTCACAGATGCTAATGAGTGTGAGGGAAAACCCTGTTTTAATGCTTATTCTTGCAGAAATCTGATTGGTGGATATTACTGTGTCTGCATTCCAGGATGGACAGGAATTAACTGTCACATTAGTTAGTATTTAACGGTTCATTTGAAGCTAACTTTTCTATCCACTCTATATATAAAAAGAACAAAAAATTATGTTGCTCAGCTGTCAACCTGTCTACAAACCTCTGATGGTCTGTTTTAATAATTAAAATGTACAAAGAACTAAACTGATTTAATACTTTCAAGCCTGACAGCCTTCCAGCCATTTTGGAACAAAGTCCCAATGTTCTCTGCAAGAGCATGCTTGGGACAAGAAGTCCCTCAATGGTTTGAAGGCCCCCGGGTCTTTTAGCCCTGCTACTTTTTCTCTCTATCTTTTTTTTTTTTTGTGGGGAAGGGGCAGGAAAAGTTGTAGATTTATGCTTTAAGAATATATTTTGTTTGTAGATATTAACGAATGCCGTGGCCAGTGTCAAAATGGAGGCATTTGCAAGGTGAGTTTTTGTATCTCTTCCTGAAGACACTTCACATTTAACACTTTAAGTCCAGAAGAACTTTTTGTCTTTGAGAAGGACACTTGCTCTTTGTGGAAGCAGTTGTCTTTCTGCAAAGGTCTAACACACAGGGGCGTCCCGAGGCCGGGTGTCACCCAGAGCGGTTACCGGGTGACACCCCGCTGTGACGTCACCCCGTATGCGCGGCGATCTTATTGATACCTGCAGGGCAGCCATCTTGGTGATGGACGCCAATAGAGAGAGGAGGGAACACTCCCCCGGCAGGATAAGGTATGCCGCTGGGTCCCCTCCTCTCTCCGAAACTGTCGGACCGAGCGCCCGACTTTTCAGAAGGAGGGTGGCACCAAAATGACAGTCAATTTTGGTGTCACCTGGGTGCGGGCAACACCCCCCCTTGTGACTTCACTGCTAACACACCTGCTGGCTGAGTTGGAGGTCAAGCTTTCCAATCAGCAGGGAAAATGAGCTTTACAGATTGCAAAGTTATAGGTCTGACTCGCCTTGGGGGCGTCTGACCTCTGCAGAAAGACCACTGCTTCCACACAGATAACAAGGGTCCTTATATACAGCATGATGGCAGGGAGTAGAAATGTCTACTCGGGCTGTGGCTGCTTTCCAAAGAAAAGAAAATGTAGAAATTAAATGTGTGCAAGATCTGGCCAATTAGAGTTCCCCTTCACACTTTTTCAATAAAAGTGTACTTGCAAGCTTACCTTTGAATTAAAGTGTATGTTCGGAGTGGGACTGGGCACATATCTCTGGCAGTGGCATACTAGAAGTTCTACCTGTAATATCGAACTGCTTGCAGCATCTTATCCTGAAAAGGGTCAGCCGGGCTACAATCTGCTGGTGCCTACAGTCATCAATTGTGATTATATTGCTGGACATCTCATAGTGATCAGATGTAAAACTTTTGCAAGTTTAGTGGTGGCCATTTTTTATCACTGTAGGTTTTAAATTTTTTAAATTAAAAATAAACCACACTTAATGGGAACCGGTCAACACAAATATGGGACCTATGATTGCTCTGTTTTTGCAATCTCTGGGTCTTCATCTGTTTCTGCTTGGCTTTTGAATAAGTCGCTAAGCTGCGCCTAGTATGCCACGAGTCCTTACTGACTGAATACTTGTTGTCAGTGACTTACAAATGAGTTAAGCAAGAGTTACATAGTCAGGTTGAAAAAAAGACACAAGTCCATAGCGTTCAACCTATAGAGATAGAGTGGCAACCCGAATCAAGTCAGCAATGGTAGCCTTCATATTTCTGTTCTGTAAGTTTATTTTACCTCAGCTTATATTGAAGATGGATATTGCTAATCTAACTGTCTGTCCAGAGAAAGTCTTTTTGAACATTAACTTTGTACACTGGTCACTCTTTCTCTTAGGACAAGTTAAACGGCTACCGGTGCATTTGCCCTCGGGGCTTTGTTGGGAAGAACTGTGAGGTAGAGGTGAATGAATGCTCTAGCAACCCATGTCAGAATGGAGGAGTGTGTGAAGACCTGGTCAATGGTTTTCACTGCGGCTGTCCACTCGGCTATGCTGGCACCACATGCGAGGTAAGAGCTGCTACTGTATATTTGCTCTGGGCTATCTTTCATGTGTTGTGGAAATCTATCTCTGGATTAAGCCAGAGCAATCCAACGCCTACCACATTATATATTAATTGATCTGCTACTTGATCTGTTTTGTGAATAAGCAAATTTGTTCAGTTGTATCTAAGCTGTGTTGAACATTGAAAGGAGCACCGTGTCTCTTTTGTCTTATGATTTTTTTTTTCCCCTTCCCTTTTTAAGTGTAAATATAGGTAAAATAAAATATACCGTTTGTGGGAAATTTTCCTCTCTTGCCTCTCTCTTGCCTCTCTCTTGCCTCTCTCTTGCCTCTCTCTTGCCTCTCTCTTGCCTCTCTAAGAAGGATACGGCAATAAATCGACCACAATAGTGTGTACTGAGCCTACATTCACAACCTTTTAAAGTGACTGGCAGAGGATATTCAGCTAAGCGCAGACTGTGTTATTAGAAGACTCATCCCAACAGCCACACATACCCTTATGAAAGTGTTAAATAAGTTTTGCCCTTTTTTTTTTTTTGGTTTTGGTCAGTTTTATTGTAGAAGATCAAGGAGCCAGTTTCAAGTATTTGAATTGCAGGAAGCTTGGGGACTGTTGTCTATATCCTTGGTACATACTATTAAACTTGAACTGGAAGGGGAAATTTATACTAGCAGAGGAAACATATGAATGTCGCTGATAGGGGGGGACATGTAAAGAAAAAGTCTGCCTTTTCTCAGCAGCTTTGTCCAGGCTGAGAGCTAAACTCTGGCAAATGAATCAATCCTTTTGCTGTCCTTGAGCTCTCTGAACTGTGTTTGTGCTCTCGCCTTCAGTGGGACGTGCTTGTACAAATAAAGCATTCCTCCCTGGGCATTATTAAATCTTTGGATCCTTAATCATGTTGCTGCAAATTCTGGTTTTGTTGAAAGAATTTTATTTTAGTTTGCCACTCCCTGCATGAAAACGAGTGCTTTAGAACTGGGTAATCCCTCATTTGATACTAGCTGTATTACAGAACCTGCAAACAATGTCACAAAATGAAATAACAGTCTAAAGATATGGTAGTGGACAGTGAACTTCAGTCAGTTCTAAAGCAATAAAAACTACAATTGAAAACTTAACTGTAAGCACTCAGTCTAGGAGTGGGGAGGTCAATACACAGAAAGCATGCTGATTAGAATAGAGCACAGCAATGGGTGCTTCAGGGTGCTACTGATCTAATCCAGTTGCCTACTGGGGTGGGTCTGCAAAGAGGTACAGAAACTGTCTGGCACGGCATGACAGGACCAAAGGGCTGTCTAAACGGTCCTCTACATCTTATGGCAGGTATAGGTTTACCTTTTCAGTTGTGTGTTTTAGCTGGTTAGCGTTGAGCATCAAATTGTATAGCACCTTGCCATTTATCTCATTGGTGTGTTCATGCAAAATTATGAAATTACTTTTTATTTCAATTAATCTTAATTTCTGACAACTGACTCTTTATTGTGTACCCATGTGTCAGCTGGAAGTTGAACTCTGGCTTGCAGTGGGAGTTCTGCACACTAGGCAGCTAGTAGTGAGAGATACTTGCATAGCCTTCTAGCGGGAGAATAAATGTCACATTTAGCCTTGCAAATGCTGGGCTGTGGTGCTGAATAGGTCTCTGAAGAGTCACTATGCATTTGTGGCTATCTGTTATGAGGTTGTTGGATACAAGATGGTGTTACCTGTCAACTATCTTGTCAGGCAAAACTCTTTTAGATGTACCTGTCGATTTTTAACTTGTATTTTCATGCAAAAGAGAACTAGACAATGCTCTGTTTTCACGCACCATCTAGTTCCACCCTTTTACATACAGTATCTACGCTGTCATGGCAGATTTGAGGAGGTTGGGTTGTAAATGAGATTG